TTTGGTTGCATTCACAGTCAGCATCCATGAAGGCAATAGTTAAGAAATCAAATGATATATTCCCTGGGCAGGTCTGCTGCAGAAGACACTTTTGAAGTGTTAAAGAGCAGAGACATCTCTTTGAGGACTAAAGGGTGCCATCGTATTTTCAGTGACCTTATATTCATGTGGAAGCTGGACTCCAAATAAGAAATAGGAAATTAATCCTGTTGGATTATGGTGTTGATAAAGAATATTGAAAATCACATGGACTGCTGGAAGAAGAAGCAAAACTTTCTTGGAGGAAGTACAGCAAGAATGTTCCTTAGAAGCCTCTCGTGTCCTTTTGACATGTTATTAGGGGAGAGACGTCTCTGGGGAAATCCATCATGCTTGGTAAAGTCATTGTAAAAGAGAAGATCCTTGGCCAGATAGATTGACACAGTGACTGGAACATTGGCTCCAGTCTAACAACAGCTGTGCGGATGGTACATGGCAGTGTTTTAGTGGAATGCACGGGGTCTCACTTATTCGGAGCCAACATGAAGGCACCTAACAACAACCACCAACAAGGCATTTAGATAGGTTGTCATCTCAAAGAGCCTTTGATTTTTGTCCATCAACAAACAGCAAATTTCAACCCCCCACCCCCACCCCATCTTCATCCCTAATGTCAATGCTTACCTGTTTCCTTGTTTTGCTTTTGTGGACAGGGCTTGCAGGTGATCCAAGTGCCTATTTTTCTGAAATTTACAAATTTTGGCCGTTGTTAGCTGCCCTTGATTTGGTTGGGACGCATGGTGCCCCCTATGCACAACAGAACGGAGTACTGCCCTATCCTGCGCCATCCATACTATTGCTCTTAAGCTCGAGCCCATTTTTACAGCCGCAGTGTCAGTCCATCTCCTTGAGAGCCTTTCTCTTTTTTGCTGCCCCTCTACTGTACCAAAATGATGTCCTTCTGCAGGGACTAGTCTCTCCTGACAATAGGTACAATGTATATAAGATGAAGTCTCACCATCCTTGCCTCTAACAAGCACTCTGGCTGTATTTCTTCCAAGCCAGATCAGTTTGTCCTTTGACTAGTCCTCGGTACTTTCAGTATTCTTCTCCAGTGCCACAATTCAAATACATCAATTCTTCTTTGGTCTTCTTTGTTTAATGTTCAACTTTCACATGCATATGTGGCAATTGAAAATACCATGACTTAGATCAGGCACACCTTAGTCCTTAAAGTGATACTCCTGCTTTTCTAGTGAAGAGTAATTTCAAATACTAAAGTACAATGGCTACTTTGACTATTAAAAATTTCAATATTTTTCTTAGAGTTTTTAAAGAAAATTCATAGCAAGTAACTTTTTAATTTGTTTGGGGATATCTTTTAATTTAATATTTTTTTATATATAATAGACAAAGAGAGTGTCTCCTCTCCCTACCTCACTAAATTTAAGAATGATGAAAATATTTTCTTAAACACATTGAGAAATTTTTTTCTTTTCTTTTTGTGGGTAAAATGTGTTTATACTTGTACTTAAGCCTTATTTTCCTGGGCATCTCCTCAAAAAGCAAGTATTATTTAAAAACATCTCTTCTTACTTTTGTGTCCCCTATTACTTTCATTGTGAAGTAGTGAGAGTATCGCTGTCCTTTTGCTCGCAGTAACTCTTTGGCTTTCTTTATCTTGAGAAGGTCCCTTATCTTGTCATTAGTTGAGGTCTGTAAAATGATGATATCATCCCTAGCCCTGGAGGACCCTCAGGCAAAATGAGGCACTACATCCAGAGTAGTTAAGGTTAATAAAAAATAATAGCTTTAATAAAGTCATTTAATTCATTGACACAAAATTAGCCTGTCAGTGAATTCAGGGCAGCCTGATATGTTATGAAAACCCACTACTATTGAGCTGATTCCAGCTTATTTGAGATTGCATGTTGGGCTGCTATCCACACAGTCAGCCATTGGAATCAAGCAGGTACTCTGTGGGAAGAAGAGAGACTAGGTTCTCTGAAACCCTAAGGAACACTTCTACTCTGTTTCATAGAGCTGCTGGGATGTAATATTTTTTTAGACAAACAACAATAATAAAACACTAAGAAACAACAATAACAAACCTGACCCTCATGTTGATTCCAACTAATAAAACCCAGAAATCAAACTCACTGCCATCAAAGAAGCAGTTCTTGCTCATAGCAACTGTATATAAGGTTTCTGAGACTGTAAATCTTTGTTAAAGCAGATAGCCTCAGCTTTCTCCTGCAGAGTGGCTGGAGGGTTTGAACCACTGGTCTCATAGTTAACAGGAGAACACTTAACCAACAGTGTCACCAGGGCTCCTTTTATTAGGTAGATTGTAATTTAAATCTGAGATAGTGATACATAGGCAAGAACCTTGGCAAATGAGTTTCATGTTTCATTTGTGGGATTTAGGTACAGTGAGCTAGGTAAAATATTTCGTAAACTCTCTTTCCATTTGATTATTTCTGTATAAAACTTATCCTCTACTTATTTCTAATATATTTTTTGGCCAACCTTACCTAAAGAGTATATTTAAATAAAAATAGAGTTTAATTATTTTATTTCTGTGAATACACAGGGTATTTTGTAACTATAATATTAGAGAAGCAGTTTTTGAACTTCTTTACTTCACAACTGGACCCATCCACTAGCCTTATCTAGTATTAACCTTCTTAAGAAACTTTTCCATTTTGATATTAAAAATAACTCTTGGTGGGAAAATAGTTTTATTTCCTTTTCTAGAGTTTGATGACTAAGTTATAACTTGAGGGAAGTTATTCTTATCATCTCAATAAAAATTATTTTAGCATATACATCTAAAATATTTCCAATATTTAAAAATCCCTTATCTAGTAACACTGTGTAATCTCTCATGCGGTTTTCAGTTCAGACTCTCTTAAGTTTTTTAAGAGAATTGACTCAGAGGAGAAGTCTAAATTCACAGCTGAGGTTCCATCTGCTTTCTTGTGAAGCTTTCGCTGGCTTTGGGTGGGGTTGCACATTCATCTTATCTCCCTGGAGCAATAGCTAGAGCAAGCCCAAGAGCAGCAACATGGCCACTGCCCACGCCGCTGACGCCTCTGCAACCACACCGAGATGATTTCCTTAGGAGCTAGAAAAAGGTCCATTTGGTCACAGAGTGACAAACTACCCAGACTACAGCACTTTCCAATGTGAGTGACTTATGCCCTCTTACTACATTACTTGATAAATCTAATTACAGAGCCAATGCTGTGTATATATAACTTATTTCCCACTATTCCAATCTCCACATCCTGTTTCAGTTTTACCTTCTGAAACTTTCTCTTAGAATCCTCTCAAACACAAAAAATAGTGTTTTGTTTGCTTGCTGAAGGCCCTGAGTTGAATGTGTACATGCTTGCAAGAACGGCCACTATTCCTCTTCAGTACTTCAAGACTGTCCTTCCTTCAGTTAAATGATTTCTATTGAAAAGTGAACCTGAATTTCCATAGGCTTTCAAGTACATGCTCTCATTGCTAAGGTGATGATCATCTGTACTACAGTAATACTCACTTTCTGAAGTTAAAGTGTTAACTTTATCAGTGGTAACCATTTACTTTTTAATACCCTCTGAAGGAGGGTTGTAATTCCCCTTCATTTTTTTGGTGATCAAATTAAGCTATGCATCGTGATTTATAGGGGATCATGAGCAAGATAGTCATGTCTGTGGTGATGGTGATGGTGATGAGAAACAGAAATCATCTATTAGGTTCTTCTAAGATTATCTTAAGTTAGTAATACACATGTTTATAGAATACAGTCATCCCTTAATATCTGCTAGGATAGCAAGCAACAGTACCAAAATCTATAATGCGCAATTCCCTGATATAAAACGGCATAGTATTTGTATGTAACCTATGCACTTCCTCCAGAACACTTTGGTTTTCTTGCTAACCTCCATTTTATGAATTTCGATACCTTTCTTTAACAACCTAAAGCAAAGCCTGCTCCGATCAAGTATACTCTGACTCAGAGTGACCTTACAGAACTTAGTACAACTGCTCCCTACTAGATGTAATTTCACAGGATGTAAATTTTTACAGGAGCAGAAAGCCTCACTCATCTTTTTCTCTGACGGAGGAATTGGTGGAGTTAAACTGCTGGTCTTGCCCAACATATCCTCTGCCTCTAGGGCTCCTTATTCCCTTCTTACTTTTCCCTAAATCATTTATTTTAGGTTTGAAAGTCAAAATGCTATAGAATTTTCATTTGCATTTAGTTGTCATCAAGATTAAAAAGCTCACATTTTATTTACTTAGGAAATGTGTTGGAGAATCTGTGGAAGAATACCTAAATGTTGTTCTTAGGTGCCATTGACTATCCTATACATAGCAGAATGGAACAGCAGAATGAAACACAGCCCAGTCTCGTGCCATCCCCACAATTGTTTTCATGTTTGAACCTCGTATGTCAAGCCATCTGGTCAAAGGCCTTCCTCTTTTTCGCCACCTCTCTACTTTATCAAGCATGATGCTCTCTCCTGACAACCTGTCCAAAGTAGGTGACATGCAGTCTCACTATCTGAGGAGCACTCTGCCTGTAATTCTTCCAAGACGGATCGTTCTGTTCTTTCGACAGCCCATGGCATTTTAAATATTTTTCACCAACACCATAATTCAAATGCATTGATTCGTTGTCTTCTTCGGTCCTCCTTATTCAGGGTCCCACTTCCACATGTGTCTGAAGTGATGAAAATTCCATGGTTTAGGTTAGGTACATCTTAGTCCTCCAAGGAACATCCTTACTTTTTAACACTTTAAAGAGGCCTTGTGCAATACAGTTACCTGATGCAAGGTGTTGTTTGATCTCTTGACTACTGCTGATTCTTTGAGTATTGATAATGGATCTAAGACGATTCAGTCTTTGACAACTTTTAAACTGTTTATCTTGATATTACTTATTGGTTCAGAATATCTAGAATAAATATATAAAAGTATACTGGGTAGTTTGCTGTTGCTTAAGACTTGTTCCTTAATTTTTTTAGGAAAGAAAGGAGAAGCTATCCAAATTTGAGTCTCTTCGTCATTCAATTGCTGGAATAATTAGGTCTCCAAAATCTCCATTGAGCTCTTCAACGGTAAGTACGATTTTTATGCTCTATCGAAAATGTTTTTTTGTCTAGCCTTTTCTGACAATCCTATGAATGTTCTATATAAAATTGTTCTTATAATTGTAAGACTAAATGCATAGTTTAACTTTTTGCATACTTTTGCAGCTGTACAGATAATGTAATATGGCAAACCCC